TGAAGTTTGACTGTAGTCCCTCCCATTTGCCAATTTTGCTTTCGTTGCCTGCGCTTTTGTCTTATATCCAAGAAATCATTGCCAATCCAATGTCTTGCCAATTTACCCCTATGTGTTCTTATAGGATTTAATGTTTTAGATTTATGTTTAGGTCTTGTAACCCATTTGAAGTAAGATTTTATATTTATGGTATGAAGTAAGGTCATCTTCATTCTAATACATGTGGATATCTGGTTTTCCCGACACCATCTGCCATCTGTTAAAGGAGATTGTTCTTTCCCCATGAAGTGGCTTGGCACCCTGTCAAAGATCATTGACTATAGTGTGAGGTTTATTTCTGAGCTGTCTATTTTGTTCCTTTGGTCTATCTTCTGTCTTGTTACCTGTGCCACACTGTTGTCATTATTATGACGTTTGTATAATAAAATAATGTTTCAAAATGGGAAGTGTGAGTCCTCCAAATATGTTCTTGTCTTTCAAGGTTGTTTTTGGCTATTGTTTTTCTATTTCACGATTCATTTTTCTTAACTCTATTCTCTGTTATTTTCTTCCTTTCGATAGTTTTCAATTTAGTTTGTCCTTCTTTATCTATTTTCTTGAAGTGTAAAGTTAATTCATTGATTTGAAATGTTTCCCTTTTTTGTGTATGCTTTTGTAGCTATAAAGTTACCCCTTAGCATGGCTTTTGCTGCGTTCCATACGTTTGTCTACATATGTTTTCATTTTCATTTGTCTCAAAGTATTTTGTAAGTTACCTTGCAACATCTTCTTTGACCCATATAGGTTGTATGAGATTGTGTTGCTGAATTTTCACATTTCTGCAAAGTTTCAAGTTTTTCTAGATTTATTCCACTGTGATCAGAAAAGCTACTTAAGTGGACATAAAGGAATAACATTCATCGGGTGTTGGGCAGGTAGGAGTAGGGAGGAGGCAATGGGTATCTACATACATAACGAGTGTGATGAGCACCATCTGCGGATGGACACACTTGAAGCTCTGACTCCAGGAGCGAAGGGGAGCAAGGGCAATATACGTAACCATGACATCTGTACCCCCATAATATGCTGAAATTAAAAAAAGCCCCATGAATTTGTTAAGACTTGTCTTCTGTCCCAATATATGGTCATTTCTGGACAAAGTTCCACGGGCACTTGAGAAAATTGTGTATTTCACTATCATTGCTGAAGTGCTCTGTGTCTCTGTTGACTAAATAAATATAAAATGCTTTTGTGTGGCAAAAACAATGGAAAAAATACCTCATCAACAAGGTACAAATATTCATGACAAACAGGAAAAAATATTTGCAACTTATATCATAAGAAACAGGTAAATTTCCTAATACATCCCTAAGATATAAAGAACTTTTTGGGAAAAAAAGGCCAGAGTCCCTGTGTAAACTTGGCAAAAGTATGAACTAATAGTACATAAGAGGAAAAGAAAACAGGCAAGGCTCTTAACCATATGAAAAAGATGTGCAACCTTGCACATATCAAGGGAAATGCAACTTAAAATATACACTAATATATCATTTATCAGCTATCAGATGGGAAAATTAAACAATCTGGTAAGAGTCCTGGTGAGACTCTGCGGAAACTTCCTCTCTCAGATATTCATAGGGAAATGGTACATGGTAAATGGTACATGCGCTTGGAAGAGGGATTTGACAGTAATGAGCAAGAGAACTTGTGTTTTTACCTTTTAAGCAGCATTAGAATGCCCTAGGAATCAATCTCAAAGACATAGCGATAAAAATTACCAAAGACTATGTCACACACCTAGTCGTTGCAGCCATATTTGTAACAGCAAGAATAGAAACAACCAAAGTGTCCATTAATAGAAGACTGGTTGAGCAAAGTATGGTAGGTCCATCCCAGAACTCACTAGCTGTGGAGAGGAATGAGGGATGTCGCTACAGAGCACTATGCAGTGATCTCAAGGACTTTTTGTTTCACTTTTAGTAACTTATTTTATTCATGTGTCTTTAACCATTCGCTACATAGATTACATTGTGGCTACTACATCCCTCCACTGAAATAACAGAGTTCTCAACATGGGGAGCAAGTAGTGCTTTTGAAAACATTTTATACACGTGGCTTTATGAGATACATTATAGTGTGGTCATTACATCTATTCCCTGAAATAACATCATCCTCAACTTGGTGAGCAAGTAGCCTAAGGATACATTTTTAGGTTAAAAATAGGCAAGGTGGAGACGTTTATGTAGATTATGCAGCATGTATCTAAGCAGGAGGACAGAGTACAATGAGTGTCCATCTCCCTAACGAGAGATACAGGTCCAGAGACTAGGTAACGCCAGTTGCGCACATTCCTTTAGCCTTTAAGAAATCTGATAAATACAGCGCTGTAAAGGCTCTGCTAATTCTGACGTCCCTACCACTCACCTCTAACCAGCCTTGGCCCCCTCCAAGAATGCACATCACCACATAAATGGTTTTGACTATTCTTTCTGCTTAATACTTGTCCCAGAACTTTCCATTCTTCATTGAAAAATAACACTTTTCCATACACTTTAGACCCTTCTTCGTCAGAAACCAGCAGTAGCAGTCCATTATGGCCCCACAGCATGAGCAGGATCTACTTTGGAAGAGGGGCCTTTCTGGGCAAGGGCTGAAAGCAGTGGGGTGCTGGAGCCAGCACTCACTGGAGCATGACGGCTGACTGTTAGATTTTCAGGGCTTCTTTGAGCCAGTTGTTAAATACAGCCATTACTGAAAACTACATTACATAAACTAAAAATCACATTCATTAAATTGAAAACAGATATAACACGTGCTCAAAAGTGATCAATCCTAATTAATTTTCCAAATTTTGCTGTTATGTATGTTCTTGTGGTTATTGACATTTATTGTACCTGAATGGTGAAAACACACCTTTTCCCAACTCTGCATGCATTGATGTTAGGTTGGTATCTAGAAATCAGCAAATGTGACAACTTGGGGCATTTCTTCCAAACTCCCTCCCCAACCCCACCCCGAGATCCAGTTATACCTTTAGCTGCACACTACTGGTGGAAATGGATCCACTCTACAGATGCTCTGATGTGGTGCATATGCTCAGATCTGATCAATCTTGTTACATAACATACAAGAGTCAAGACCTAACTCACAGTACTCTATACAATGATGTTTTAAATCTGTGTACTGAGGTAGTACATGACAAAGGGAAGTACACAAAAAGGTTTGATATTTAACATTTACAAAGATGTCCTAATATGACACGAAATAAATCGTTATGAGACTTTTGAAAAAGTTTACAGGACAATGTATTTGTTTGTGTGTGTGTGTGTGCATGTGAGTGTGTGTGTGCATGTGAGTGTGTGTGTGTGTATGTGTGTGTGTCTTGCACCAGCGTCAGGTCTGAAAAGCCCTGCATGGAAATGGCAGTGGGCATCAGGAAAATGAAAGGGCCCAGGGAAAAGGGTCTCATTCCTTCCCCCAACATCCGTCAGTTTATTTCTTTTTATCTCCCTCTGTCATGCTGCATCCTTAACCAAAATATTTTTCCTCTTTTACCCAACTCAGCTGTGGGACTGTGGTGTGCCTAGGAAACAATTGCATAGCAAGGTATTAATCCCTTTCCAGGTACCCCTGCTTCCTACCTCCAGGAATATGTGGATTTGTTCATCTGTTACTGGGAGAGAAGAGGAACCATTTATTCAAGTACCAAGCCAGGGAAGGAAAGAAGGCATGAGATGGACTTCAGTCTTGCTCTCAGCCATCAGATTGGGAATATAAGAACCCTGACTTCTCATGACCTCAAAAAAGAAATGACAATTTGTAACTGGATGTCATCACAATCAATCACCTTGGGTACAATAGAGGGAGGGAAGGAAGGAAGGAAGGAAGGAAGGAAGGAGGGAGATGACAGCATGAGAAGCAGTCCATATCCAGGCATGTACAATTGAGCTCTCTCTGCCTGCTGAGGGTCTCCAGGTCTTCATTTGTCTAAAACATCAACAGAGGACTGAGAAACCAGTGCATGTAAGAAAGATCTGATTGATCACTACCTTGAGTAAGAAAAGAAACCCTTCTGACTGATGTCTGGTGCTTTGAGTTTTAAACCTTTTATTCAGTGTTTTATAAAAAAATTAATTATCAGCTAATTCAGGGCCTGGTAAAGACAAAGGAATTTTCCCTGATCTTTAGCTAAAATATTCCCCAAAACACATTTGCAAGTCACTTTCACGCCTTGAGTGCATTTCCTCATAGGTAAAATGGCAATGATAATGCTTAGCTTGCAGAGCTGCTGCGAGGCTGTATGTGTCAGTAGGTGAACACTGAATAAATAAAAGGTAGTGACCCTTCCTCATGTTTCATGGGTCCTTCCAAAGTAAGATCTAGCCATATTTATTTCCCTTCTTTTTGATTCTTGTTGTCCTGACTGGTCTCAGTTTCCACCACTGTAAAGTTCACATTGGACTACAATAAAACTGGCATTCCATTCACCAGAATCATCCTTCATTGACGTTTGCTTTGGCCCACGTATGGGGCTTCAAAAAGGAACCTGAGCCAAGGTTTATAAGTTGAATAATTTTACATAGAGTTCTGGAATGCCATCTTCCTAAAAGGCAGCCGATCTGGCAACCGTGAGTCCACATTCCTGCATGGCAACAACTGAGCCAAGCACCAGCTGCCGCCTTAGGTAGAGTGTGCACTGTCACTTTGGCCAGAGCCCATGAGGCCTGCTCAACTTGTTTACATGACAATGTTTGATCCTGTAGGTGTTGCAGTTTGTGGCCCTCTGGACGACTGAAAACAGCCCATGCCAGGCAGAGGGTAAGTGCTTAATTACTGAATGAACAAATATTCTACCCTTTTTTCTCTACCATTTTCTTCTCTAGCCATGTTAACAAGAAATCTCAGTTATTGTGTGGGGTGATTCTCACTTTGAGACATGAATTGGACAAGTCCGTTAGAGTCAGGATAATCTATAGTCTTACTGTGTTAGACCGTGGTAACAAACAACCCATATATCACAGTGCCTTACAACAACAAGGGTTTATTATTTGTTCACGCACACAAACCTAGAGACAAAGTGAAAACATTCTTATGCATGGATACGTACATGAGTGCACAGGTGTGTCTGCAATCACAAGACAAATGAAAACTCTGGCATATGAATTCACACAGAACCCCATTTAGAGACTGATCAACTTAGATTGCACAATCCTGCTATGATAGGAGACATCAAAATGCCCCAGCATCCAAAGGAGTAAGGGATACAGGTACAAGAATATCCACCTTCAGCCAAGGAATTGCCCTATATAAGAAAAAGGGTCTGAAAGCTTATAAAACACTTAAGGCATAAAAAATGATGTTAAGCATTTTGGACATTAACCATTTTGCACATTCAGAAACAGGATTCCAAATAGGCAGTGCTCTATGGAGGCCTCCTCCTCTGGGCTCCTAGCTCAAGAGGGAGATGCACCCCAGGTGGCCAATAGGCAGCGAGACGGAGCTGGCTGGCCTGGGGCGGAGAGAGGGGCTGGGAGGCTGGAGTCCTTTATCTCCAGCAGGAGCTGTAGACAGAAAGGAAGGGGCCAGAGCCAGGTCACATCCATGTCCCCTCCCAGCTCTCCCCTTTTCTGTGTGTCCCACCCAACCAAAGTTTGTCACCTGGACTACTGTGCAGACCTCTTCCTCTCTGATTTCCCCATCTTGAGGCCTGGGTCCCCCCATCCCTCCATCACAACCACCACCTGTCTTTCTGTCAGGCCCAGGGTCTCTGAAAATTCTCCTCCCTAGCTCTGGAAGGTTCTCTGGCTGCTCACTGCCCACAATTGCTGGTCTAGCCTCCTAAGCCTGGCCGGCCAGACCTCTGTGATTTGTAGCCTCTCCAGCCTCGTCCCCTTCTATCCCAGTGTTTCCTCCAGGCTTGGTTCTTCACTCACAGACCATTTGGGTCTGGGAATGCCTAGCCTTCCCTCTTAGCCTCCCCAGGTGTTTATCCCTCCTCCCAGCTCCTCCATCATGGACATGTAGCCAGAAAACACAGCTTGCTTGCCAAGGCATCCATGCTTCACGTCTAGACTGGAAGCTCCCTGCAGACAGGGACCAGACCTCCTTCCAGACCAGACCCTTACCACCTCTGTATGTGCCCCCCAGACTGCAGCAGACCGCAGGGGTCTGGGTGGAGAGCCTGGGCTGGGAGTCAGCACACCTGGTTCCTCCACTTGAGATGCTGCATGCTCTAAGGCAAGTCCCTGCCACTCTCCGGACCTCAGTTTCCTTGTTTCTTGACATCAGGGCACCGCACATTTGCTGTTCAGCACACAGCTCAACAAACTGCAGATTCACTGAACAGCCCTCAGCTGCCATTTCAAGAGTCGGACTGAGGAGCTTGGGTGCCTGGCCCCAAGGAAGTTGAACCTACTGCCCCTGATTTCCCTGTTAGAACCTGCTTACCATGAGGCACTCTGCCCCCGCCACCCTGTTCCCAATTCTCCCCGCCCCACATTCTCCCTCCAAGGAGCAGGCTACCTGGTGGCACACAGGGCTGGTGCAGGGAGATGGAGTCAGAAGGGGCCTGGAAAGAGCCTCTCAGAGTCAGCAGAGCCTCGGCGGCCTCCAGCTTCCGCTGCCACTCTAAGGAGGCAGAGAGCGCAGCCTGGTCCGAGTCTTTGGGGGCCTGCAAAGCAAAGGGCGTGAGAGAATGGGCACTGGAAACCACACCTCCTCCCAATGTGACAAGTGCCCCTTCAGCCCTGAGTTCCCTGGAGCCCCCCGCCCCCCAAGGCCTTCTGCTCTTCCCATCCGCTAAGCTCCGCCCCTCCCAGGGTTCTGGACCCCACTACTTTCCCAGGACCTGTGGCTGCAGTAGAAGAGGGTCAAGGGTGGCACAGGGCTGGAGGATCAGAGTTGAGCATCTAGAAACAAGGAGAGGAGAGGCCAGGGGATTAAACCCTCTGACAGACACATACTACCAGTAGACAGAGAGGGGCAGGATTTTGCAATAGCTGGATGTCGAAATCCCAATGCCTGCTGGACCATTACTCCTTGTAGCTAGGGCAAGTCCCTTGTCCTGGTTGGCCTGTTTTCTTTTCCATACCTCTGATTTCTATTTCTTTCCCGAGACACATATTCCTGCCAGCATTTTCCTCCCAGGGCCATGGAGAAGATTACGGGAAACCACAGGTGTCTGCGTTTTAATCCGCAAAGCACCTGGAGAGATGTGATTACTGTCCCTGTTCAGGGACTGGTTCTCGCCTCCATATTGCCCAATCCCCATGCGTCTTGAAGGACAAGTCTGGCTCATCTCCAGGAAGCTTTCTCTAATGGCCTTCACCATCATGGCCTCCACTTGTCAGCAGGGCCTTCTATCCTGTCTGTCTGCTTCATGTGGAGTGACGGCTCTCATTTGTTGGAGGCCTACTATGTGGCGGGCCTGTGTCAGTCCTCTTTTCAGTGCTATAGGTATAGAATATTGCCCCCAGTATACCCACAAGGAAACGGAGGTTCGGACGCATAAAGTCACCTGCCCAAAGTCTCACAAATAGGAAATGGCAAAGCTGGGAGAGCCCTGTCATTGCCCATTAGTCTTAGAAGCTGCCTTCTCCTTCCCTTTTTCCTCCTCCTTCTCCTCCCCCCTGTTCCTCCTCCTGTCTCCCATGGCACCAAGCACAAGGTTGGGCACCCAAGACACAGCCAGTTCCATGGTCCTCACTCCACTCACGTGCTGGGCTGGGCAGGGGGCCCGTGGGGCTCCCCGGAAAAAGAAACCATCAGTTGCTGCTCCAAGGTCGCCGGAGTGCAGGGCAGAGACAAAGGTTCTGAGGGCTTGCCGAGCAGCAGAGCCCCTGGGGAGCTCTCCTGCAGAGGCAGAGAACATAGGTTGGAGTCACGACCAGGCCATCCATGGAAAGAGAAGGTGTGGCCAGGTTCTGGGATGAAGATAGGAGCCCAGGCCGTTGGAGTCTGAGGATGTTGAAGACCAGCCAGTCTCAGCTTTCATTTTGCAACTGGGGAAATTGAGGCCCAGGGGGAAGAGTCTTTTCCCAAGATCACAAGGCAAGTTGGTGGTAGGGGCGCAGATGGAACCCTGTCTTTTGGGGGCACAGTGCAAGGGGTCTGGGCAGTGGATGGTGGGAGCCTCCCCCGCTGGCCACGGACTCTACTTACCTGCTCCGGGGTTTCGCGGGCGTGGGCCTCAGGCTGCAGCACGTTGCTCTCCTTCCCAGCTGTGAAAGACCAGGGACGGCTCTGCTGAGCCTTTCCTTCCCCGCCCCTCCCACAGGCCCCACCCCACTTTACCCACCCCTAGTCTCAGGTCTCACCTCACCGTGAACCTTCTCAACCCCCCAGATCTCTCCTTCGGACAAACACTTGGCGGATAACATTGACGACGTTTTATGCTTGGGCAAGTTAAGGTCCAGGGAGTAACTTGCCCCAGGCCGCACCGAACTTTGGTGACAGGACTGGTGACAGAACTACCCATGCGTCCTCCACCCAAACTCAGGCTCCCTCCCTGGCCAGGGACACTCACTGAGGGCTCCTGCTTCCACGGCCAAATTCTTGACACGGGTGTGAGCTCTGGCAGGGACAGCCATAGTCTTTATCAGTCCTCGAGCCAGGTGCCTCTTTAGCCGAGCCCGCTGCTCCCTCTTCAAGGCACTCACAGCAGGCAGGATCCTGCGGTGCTCCCTAAAGTGGGGGATTGCACGTCTAAGGTTAGTCACATTTAGAGGAGGCCTGGCCCCTCCCCGTCTGAGACACCATACTCACGAGAAGAGGGTACAATTGTGACACTTGCAGGCCTGGAAGAGGCAGAAATGCTTGTGGCCCCTGATTTGGGTAGTGATGCCATGGTTGTGGCAGCGGTCACAGCGACCTATAGCTCTTCTGGGGCCAAGTTCAATCCCCCACGGGGCTCCAGTCTCACGCCCTGTGGTGCATTCGGAGTCAGAGGGGCAGCAGGGCGCAGCAGGTATTTCTTTGGGTTCCATGGTTCTAGGGTCAGGAGCGGAGGTCAGAAAGGCCACATGATCCCCTGCCCCCAACTGTACTTCCTCTGCCCTTGGAAAGCCCTGTCTGGGGCGGCTGGGTTCTTCTTCTCTAGCCTGCTCACTGCTGGAATGAGATTGGCCCTCCCTTCCTCTCCCATGGCTTTCTCCAGCCTTCACCCCGACCTCCCCGCCCAAGCTGCCTCCTGCCCAGGAAGCCCCACTCACGCACAGCCCCTCCCAGGAGACCTCGGCGTCGCGGGCCCGGTCGCACTCCGTCCATTCCTCACTCTCCTCGCTACCTTCCCCCCCCACAGACCCCATTTTCAGTCGCACACACGCACCCATGCCCGCTTCAACAGTACCGCACCCCTTCTTGTGTGTCGTCCCGTACCCTGCCCAACCCAGCTGTTACTCCCGGAATCCCCCTCACTCGTCTCCCCCGCCCCTCCCGCGTTCATCCACGGCCCACACGGCCCCTGCTCCCTGCGCCGGCTCCGTTACTCGTCGCGGCCACGCCCTACGTTCAGTCCCCTCACGGCCCATTCCGGGGTTTCCTCGCCCCCCCCCGCCGCTTTAGTTTAGTCATCCTCTTTTCCCCCTTTAAGCTGATTTCCCTCCTGTGCCCCATGAAATCATATTGGCCCCCGATCCCCGGCCCTCTCAGTTATTATTTTCACGGATCCCGCCGTTCAGTCCCTGGATTCTTCCTTGGGCCGATAGACACTCCTTGAGCGCCCTGTGGGTGCCAGGCTCCCATCCAGCCACCACGCACCTCCTCAGCGCTGTGACTTTCTCCCGGCCCGCCCCTGTCGCCCTCACGAACCCCGGCTTGGCCTCCACAGCCTCCCAACAAGCTTCCACACTCCTCCCCACACCTCGCAATTGTGCTCGAGCACACCCGCTCCCCTCCCGTCACCAACAGCCCCCACCCGCCACCTTGAGTGCCTCAGTTCCCCAGGAAGCCGGACCCTTCGCTACCCCCCACTCGCCACCTGCCCACTTCTGGATCAAACGCAGGCGGACCAGTCCCGTCCAGCGGCCAGAGGCCGGGAGCTCAGGGGCCTGGGGCCAGGGTTCCTCCCGACAGGGGTTCGGAGGAGAGCGGTTGGGGTGGAAGGGGACATCAGGGGCGGGTGGCGGCACCCTGCTGAGGTGGAGGAGAGGGGAAGGGGTTGGGGAGGCAGAGCCGGAGCCTGGGAGGAAATAAAAGGCATGGAAAATGAGGATCATACTCCTGACGCCAGCCTGTGGTTATCACAGCCTTCAGCAGGTTGGGATCAATCAGCTGAGACTGGAGGTCTGAGGGAAGACCCCGCTTCGGCTCCTTCCCGCCCTCCGACAAAGGCCAATCAGCTGCAGCGCTGCCTTCCACCTCCCACCGCCGGCGCCTGGCCACCAATGAGCTTCGAGATGCCCTCACGCCCTCGCGCTCTGGCCACGCCCCCTTCGCCTCTCCGTGCCGCCTGCCAGTGAAGAGAGTCCCTGGGCCCGCCAGGAGCACCTCAAGTGAAGTTGAGCTTTCAGCTCCTCACGGCTTGTTTCCCGGACTCGTCCCTCTTTAGATGTGAAATATTTCGTGTGCGTGCCTTTTTCAGTCATGTTCTTGGTATTCTGTAATTTACCTTTTAAAAATTCAGTGTGTGTTGTTAAAATCGATCTGTATTCCTGTGGGAGGGATTCTCGATTGGGGTGACTTAGCACCCCCAGGGGACATTTGCCAACGTCTGGAGGCATTTTCGTCCATATTTGTGTGTCTCTGTTTCTGACCTCCCCGTTATGTTCCGTAGACACATTTGTCTATTCCTGGGCCAATACTACATTATCTGAATTTTCATCACTTCACAATACATCGTGACGTCTGCTAGGTCAAGTCCCTACATCTTATCCATCATCTCCAAATATATCTTTGCTATTCTTTGCCTTTTGCCCTTCCATATACATATTAGAGCCTGCAGTGTCAAGTTTCCTGAAAACTCAGTTGTAACAGATTTGGAATGCCGCTTTGCTGAATCTAGAATCAGTGGGGGGAGAATTGACTATCTCCCCCTAGTCAGCCCTCCTGGTTACCAACTTGGGATGTCTCCATTTACCAGGCTCTTTAACTCTCTAATCGTTCAGTTTAGCTTTAGTTTTATCTTCTGTACAGTCAGATCTTGGACATCATTTATTGTATTTATCCCAAGACAATGTAGAGTGTTGGTGCTCTTGTATTTGATGTCTGTTTAAAATGACAGTTTCTATTTGGGTCTAATTTACACAAATGCATTTGACGTGTTAAAAAGTATGTTGATCTTAAAGTCCACCACCATACTAAAGTCTCGTTATACCTAAGAAATTTTCTGTAGGCATTCTGGAGGTTTCTGTGAATCTATGAGTAGTGGAAATAGAATCAGACCTCTGGGTTTCTTACTGTGCTGGCTGGCAAAACCAGCACAAGATCTAATAGCGATGGCGAAATTGGACTGCTTTGAGTTGTTCCTGATTGTAAATAGAATGCCGCCAGTGTTTTCCTATTACAATGGTCTCCCTGTGTTTTCCTGTCCTTCCCTCCTTCTCTTCCCTTCCCTTTCCTTCCTTTCCCTTCCTTCCTCCCTCCCTTCCTTCCTTCCTTCCTTCCTTCCTTCCTTCCTTCCTTCCTTCCTTCCTTCCTTCCTTCCTTCCTTCCTCTTCCTGTCTTTCTTTCCCTTTACCAGATTAAGAAACGTATCCTTACATTCCTAATTTCAAATGTTGCCTTAAACATTGGGAATAGATGTTGAATTTTCCTTTTTGTCTACAAGGAAATCATCAGGACTGTATTTATTTAATCTGTGAATACAATGGCTGTCATGGATAGGTTTTTCCAAAACCTTTACCAAAATTTAACTTATAATCAAAGAGGTACAAAAATCATTAATGATTTTCTTTTAAAGTTAAGCATACACATGCAATTATTGATAGCATCTAGAGCAAGCCACAAAATATATTAGCAACACAAAAACCTCTTTCATGCCCCCTTCCACCTATACTTTTTCTAATGTTAAGTCAGCGTTCCTCTCCTGAGATAATGGTAGCTTAGCCATGGCATGTTCTTTGTGTACATTACAGTGGTGTACAAATGTACACTGGAATATTAGCTTGCATCAGAATCACCCAGAGAGCTTGGTGAAACACAGACTGCTGAGCTCCATATCCGATTACAGGATTTTAAGTGGAACCCAGAGTTTGCTTTTCTAACAAATTCCCTGATGATGCCGACACTGCTGGTGGGAGGGAGGGGACCACACTTTGAGAACCACTGCACAAGAGAGGAGCGCATAAGGAACACCGAATTATACATCTGCGGCCGTTAACCACTCCTGGCCAATCTCAGTTTATACATATCCTCTCCCTCCCCCTCCAGATTATTTTCAAGCAAATATCAAAAAAGTACAAAACTTGTACATCTTAATTGATCTTATTTGATTTGTAAATATTTCAGTTTGTAATTCCAAAGTATGAGAAATCCATTTTCTCCCTAGCTTTTTATTTTGAAAACACACAACGTTGAAGGGGTAATAGAAATGAACAATCTTTTGCCTAGATTCACATTTCCCCATCGCTTTATCTCTCTCTATTTTTTTTTCTTGCTTAACCATTCAACAGTTCTGAACACTTCACCCACTTACTTCGGCATGTATCTCCTAAACGCTAGGGTGTCTTCCTATGCAACCAGAGTACCATTACCGCCTTGAAGAAATTTAACAGTGATATGGTAATATTATCTACGTCCATATACGGTCCATATTTAAATTTCCCCAATTGTCCCAGAACTATCCTTTTGAGAGGTTTCTTGGGACATCCACAATCCAATCAACCATCAAACACTGCATACAGTTGTCATGTGTCTTTAGTGTCCACTAATCATAAACAGTGCCCCAAACAATTTTTTAAATCTTCCATGGCAATTACATTTATCCACCGCCTAGGCCTGTTGTCTAGGGCAGTGTCCCACCATACGGGTTTCCCCGATCGTTGCCTCTTGTTTAGATTTATGTTGAACATTTGGGGTATGAATATTAAGTAGGTGATGAGGAGTTCACATTACATCACATCTGCAGGCTCCTCAGGCCAGTTGGTCTAGTTATCGGTGATGCCATTGGTACTAATCAGTGAAATCGCTTGCTTAAGGTGCTGGTCAGACAGATTACTCCATTGTGAAGGTATCTCTGTCCCTTCGCAATTAATAAGCAGCCTGTGGCATGATAGTTTGATACCATTTGGATATTCTGTTCTCCAACCAAATTTCACCTCTTGGCTTTAATATCCATTCGGGGCTTTTGCCTGATGTGGTTATTACTTTGTGGGTTTGAAAGTGGTGATTTTCTAATTCTATCATCCATTTCTGCTTCTGTTGGTGGGCACTTTGCTGTAAAAGAGACCATCTAATTCCCATCCGCCCTCCACCTTGCTGTTGTTTTTTATGGTGTATTTGCTGCAGCAGAACACAAAAAACTATTTATTTGCTTTTGGAAAGAAATATAAAGAGAATAAAGTGAACAATAGTAAGCGAAATGTAAGCAAAAATGTGAGTTGGAATTGAATTCGCTTACTCGTTCTAAACAGATTGACAAAATCAGTTGCCTGAGATTAGAATTAACTGGCCAGATTGACCTCAGTTGCCTGAGATTAGAATTACCTGGCCAGCAAAAACAAAGAAGACGGTTTTTGTTAATTACTAAGAGGATCTGAGGTTGTTAATTTGGCCAGCTAGGAAATGGCATGGATCTCTAGACACACAAAACAACACCACACACACAACACACACACACACACACACCACACACACATTTTAGACAAAGGCATGGTAAAAAGAAATTGTTATTTCAATTACAGAATGTATGTTAGACAATTGTGAGGCCATATATAATATTTTGCAGAAAGCAGAAGACCTTCAACTAGGTCGCCAAGCAAATGCCCTATAATACACGACCTTCCTAACAATATGAAACAATAATTGATTCAAAATCTGAAAAACCTCAGACG